GTTGCTCTCAGTAACAAATACCCTGGGTGGACTTAGGCTATGAGTACAGATTTTCATCTTTTTCCTTTATATGAAGCATTACCATTTGTGTCTGCAAACTTATACCAACAACTACAAGCTTTAGTCCTATATGAACATCTTGTCCCAGATGCTAAAATAAGGGTTCTAAACACTCAATACATTTTGACCGACATAAAAGAAGTTTCAAGATAATATTACCGAGAGCAATGCAGATACAGAGGGAAACGGACCCAACTCTGAGTTAAGTATCTAAGTCCACAACCCCCTCACACAGCCAGAGTTCTTAAATTTCTGTTCTTAATTATTAGTTCTTATTATCTGTTCTTAGTTCTTAAATTTCTATTCTTAATTTTCCCGTTCCCTGTAAGTTGGCACGAAGTACTAATATGGGGGGAAGGGGTTTGGGGGTGGGGGTGGGGGTGGGGGGGTAAATGGGGGAAGGGTTTGTCCCCCCCCTTCCAAGGAATAAATAAGAGATAGGAAAAGGTTGATTTTTGGGTTCACACAATACCCTGGTTTTGGGGCCGAATTTCGTACATTATCCTGTGTTACAGACATATTAAACAGATTAAAGACAGAGTTAGACAGATTAAAGACAGAGTTAGACAGATTAAAGACAGAGTTAGACAGATTAAAGACAGAGTTAGACAGATTAAAGACAGAGTAAGACAGATTAAAGACAGAGTAAGACAGATTAAAGACAGAGTAAGACAGATTAAAGACAGAGTAAGACAGATTAAAGACAGAGTAAGACAGATTAAAGACAGAGTAAGACAGATTAAAGACAGAGTAAGATAAAGACAGAGTAAGACTGATTAAAAAAGTAAATTAGATTAAAGAAAGACAGAGTAAATCAGATTAAGCAGTTAAAATAAAAAAGCCAATATCACCGTGAAGGAAAAAAAAAGGTTTTTGAAAGCTACTTCAATGAACAAAGAACTTTAAATGCATTTCCCAAACAAATAAATAAAAAATAAATAAAAAAAATATGACCGTGAGTCACGAAGACGAGAAATTTAAGATAATATAAGTTAATACCAAATCATTATCATAAAGAGAAGGATCTATCAAAAATAAAGACAATAAACACCGGAAACCATCTTATAAACTAAATCTAAAAACAAAACAACGATTAAAAAAAAATAAAAAAACAAAACATGTATCGGCCGTCATATATAAAAAAAACTCCTTTTTACACAAAATATACGCCATGACACGTCCTTCTACCCTACCCACCATAACCCCCACACCTTAAAACAACACCTAAACCTAAAAATAACAGAGAAATAACAATAAATCACCTCAAAATCGCGAGAAATGAGAGGAGCTTCGGCGCCACGAGTCACAATCAGCTGATCTGTGGAGAGTCACAATCAGCTGATCTCTGGGAAATTTATATCGCTTTATCTCTCCTTTTTTATCTAGTTTTATCTATTCTAAGGGCGATTGGTTATTTTTTAATGAAGGAATGTAATTTCCTTTCAGGTAAGTAAGATGGATTTGGTGATTTTATTCCATGTGGATATTTTGGGGGAGGGGTTTTTAAGTTTTTAACTCTTGGGATTATTATGTAAACATTTAGTAATAATTCCTTATGTATGAGGTTAATAAATATGCATTTATTTTTCGAGTAACATTTGGATATTCTCTAAATCTTAATTAATGGGATTCAAGACTGACTGAAAAGTAATCCACACGAAGTAGGCAGACGTTGCATGGCTACGTCAAAATTGGCGGGAAATTTGAAAAAAAGAAAAAAATTCTGAGAGACTTTTTCTTCTTCTACAAATAATCATTCTAAATCTCTCATTCTCTCTCATATTTGACTTCGACCCATAATTTCCCTCTTTTCCGTCCCTTTCCCCTTCAAAAGAGCTCAGAGATGGCGCTAAATGTGTCTACGAGAAGAGGAAGTCGCGTCAATGGCGAAAATCTCCTTCCGGGAACGAAATTTGGCCTCAAATACAAGTCGGCGAAAAGACACAGCCAGAGACAAGTTTGTTGTGTTGAAATTATTGTTTTTATTTGTTGTTTTCATTTCTTTTTTTTTATTTGTTTTATGTTTTTTTCTTCTTTGTTATTTGTTGTTTTCATTTCATTTTTATTTGTTTTATGTTTTTTTTCTTCTTTGCTATTTGTTGTTTTCATTTTAATTTTTATTTGTTTTATGTTTTTTTCTTCTTCTTTGATTGTTTCCAGTTGGCTGTCGTGTTATATATGTGAAATTAGATTTTAATGATTGAATATTTAAAGATAAAGGAATTCTTGATGATATGGCAATGTTTAAGTAAAGAAGTGATACAAGATAAACCAATAATAAATTTAGAAAATATATAGTGTGGGTGAATTATCCTTTTTTTTTGCTTACTGTCCATTCCTTTCTTTTGTAATAATTTTCTTCATCGTTTATTCTTATCCTCTTTCATTCTTCTGGTCTTATTTTATTCTATTGCATTAATTTTCTTATCGTCCTTTTGATGATTATTGAAATTTATGTTTATCTCTTTTGTACTTGCTTTACCTAAATTTCCTCCTTCCTTTCCCTCTCTCTCTCTCATTCTCTCTCTCTCTTTCTCTCTCTCTCTCTCTCTCTCTCTCTCTCTCTCTCTCTCTCTCTCTCTCTCTCTCTCTCTCTCTCTCTCTCTCTCTCTCTCTCTTTCCTTCCTTCTCTTTCTCTTTTTTTTTCTCTCTCTCTCTTTCTTTCTTTCTCTCTCTCTCTCTTTCCTTCCTTCTCTTTCTCTAAAATTCCTCCCTCCTTTTCCTCTCTCTCTCATTCTCTCTCTCTCTCTCTCTCTCTCTCTCTCTCTCTCTCTCTCTCTCTCTCTCTCTCTCTCTCTCTTTCCTTCCTTCTCTTTCTCTTTTTTTTTCTCTCTCTCTCTTTTTTTTCTCTCTCTCCTTCTTTCTTTCTCTCTCTCTCTCTTTCCTTCCTTCTCTTTCTCTAAAATTCCTCCCTCCTTTCCCTCTCTCTCTCATTCTCTCTCTCTCTCTCTCTCTCTCTCTCTCTCTCTCTCTCTCTCTCTCTCTCTCTCTCTCTCTCTCTCTCTCTCTCTCTCTCTCTCTCTCTCTCTCTCTCTCTCTCTCTCTTCCACACTCATTCACTCACTTTCACCTACAGTCTCCCCCTCCCCTTCTCTCCCTTCACCCTGTCTACCTCTCTTTCTTCTTCCCTTCCTTAACTCTTCTCCCTTTCTTCCTCTCTTCCCATCCTCCTTCCCCCTTCTCCCTCTTCTCTTTCTCCCTTCTCTCCCTCCCTTTCTCCCTCAATTATCCCCTCCCTTTCCTCCCCCCTTCTCCCCCCCCTAATCTCTCCCTCTTACAGGTGTCTCTTATCTCTCGTGATCCTTTGTGTGACGTCACCAACCTCTGGACTCCTGCGTTGCCACACCTGTCTGATGGCGATGACGGCGATGACGATGACGATGGCAACTGTAGCGCTGTGGAAGAGAATGGCAACGGGATGCCGAGGCTTAACAAATACAGGTTATTTTTGTTTTGGATTTTTTGTTTGTTGTTGTTGTGATTGTTGTTGTTGTTGTTGTTTTTTTTGGAGGGGGGGATGAGGGGATTTTTTCTGTTTTGTTTTGTTATGGTTTTCTTTTGTTTTTGTTTGGTTTGGCTTTCTTTTTCCTTTTATTTTCTTTCGATTTTGATTTTGTTATATATTTTTCTCTCTTTGTTTTTGTTTTAATTTTGTTTTGTTATATTTTTCTCTTTGTTTTGTTTTGATATAGGTCTATAGAGAGAGATGTCAGTCAAGTTAATTTTCGTATTTTGATTACATGTCGTAAAAATAAAACAGATTAAGTGTTAGAAATGTAAATTATAACTAATTCTAACAACTAAATTAAACAAAAATTATGATAAGTCGGAATTAGAAACAAAATTAGATTAATCAAATTAAACATAAACTCTTTGTAAATAATTGATAGATAAGTAAACAACAAGTAGATACAAACAATTGATTCATGCACAACAATGGACATAAACATTATATGAATAAACATGAATATTAAGTAATTGTTAATGCAGCGTAAAATCACTAAATTAATGAGGATGAACTGTATTCATCAAATGCAGAGAAGGTATGAATAAGAATGAATATCTTCATAATACAAGATTATTATTATGAATTTTAAGTGAAGTGAATCAGATTTGTTACTGATAAGGACTCTTAAAACTGGTTACTAGATTTTAACAATGCATAGCGAACTCTCACATCGTTTCACAAATATTTGCGAATTCCCGAACTCTCCCTCTCTCTCTCTCTCTCTATCTATCTATCTATCTATCTCTATCTCACTCACTCTCTCTCTCTCTCTCTATCTATCTATCTATCTATCTATCTATCTCACTCTTCTCTCACTCCTCTCTCTCTCTCACTTCTCTCTCTCTCACTTCTCTCTCTCTCTCTCTCTCTCTTTCTCTCTCTCTCTCTCTCTCTCTCTCTCTCTCTCTCTCTCTCTCTCTCTCTCTCTCTCTCTCTCTCTCTCTCTCTCTCTATTTATCTATCTCACTCTTCTCTCACTCCTCTCTCTCTCTCACTTCTCTCTCTCTCTCACTCCTCTCTCTCTCACTCCTCTCTCCCTCTCTCACTCCTCTCTCTCTCTCTCTCTCTTTCTCTCCCTCTTTCTCTCTCTCTCTCTCTCTCTCTCTCTCTCTCTCTCTCTCTCTCTCTCTCTCTCTCTCTCTCTCTCTCTCTCTCTCTCTCTCTCTCTTTCTCTCTCTCTCTCTCTCTCTCTCTCTCTCTCTCTCTCTCTCTCTCTCTCTCTCTCTCTCTCTCTCTATCTATCTTTCCCTCCCACCCCTCTTCCCTCCTCCTCTTCTTCCTCCTCCTCCTCCTCCTCCTCCTCCTCTTCTTCTTCTTCTTCTTCTTCTTCTTCTTCTTCTTCTTCTTCTTCTTCTTCTTCTTCTTCTTCCTCCTCCTCCTCCTCTCCTCTTCTTCTTCTTCTTCTTCTTCTTCTTCTTCTTCTTCTTCCTCC